ACTAAACCAAGACTAAACCGGGACTAAACCAGGTCAAAACCAGGACTGAACCAGGACTAAACCAGAACTAAACCAGGTCTAAATCAGGTCTAAACCAGGACTAAACCAGGATTTAAGCAGGACTAAAAACAGTATTATAAACCAGGATAAAACTAGAATTAGACCTGGTCAAAACCAGGACTAAACCAGAACTGAACCAGGACTAAACCAGGACTGAACCAGGTCTAAAAACAGGACTACAAACCAGGATTAAACCAGAATTAAATTAAACTGTGTCTAAACCAGGTCCGGAAAAGTTTAATGCCACAGTGTGAAACATTCCAGACAAAGAAAGGAGAAAAGCGTTTCCAAGTTAAACTCTAATAAACTTTGACTTTTTACTTTCACTTTTGTGTTTTTGTTTAGCTCCGCCCCTCACCCCACCAATGACGTTTCAGTTCAGTCACAAGATTAAAGCCCCACATGAGGAAAACCCCTCACTTCATCTAAGACCCTCACTGACTACTACAACTTTTACTAATACTACTACAACTACTACAAGTACTACTACTGCGAGCTCGTACTACCTGTAAGTACCACACTTCTTATTATCTAAAAATATGACAAAAGTGAACTCAGGAAAAGTAAAAAATGAAATGTTTGTGTAGTAAAAACAGTTCTCGTGTCAACTGCGTCACAGTATTTGGAGTTGCATCATTGTTTTGGAACAACTTCCACCAGTACTACACTGATGATAATAGTAGTAGTAATAGTAGTAGTAGTAGTAGTAGTAGTAGTAGTAGTAGTAGTAGTAGTAGTAGTAGTAGTAGTGTTGTTTTGTTTACATTTGCATTTGTGTTTTTCAGGTTTCTCTGTATTTATAATAGTTTGAGCAAAAGTGAAGACAAAAAAACAAACAAAAATCATCCATTATTTGAAGTTCAGGTTTTGGGTTTTAGGTTTTTTGGGTTTTAGGTTTTAGGTTTTTGGTTTGGTTCGGTTTGAGCAGATTTAAAGGCGTCGTGTGCGATTGCTGTGGCGTTTTTGTTTTTTTTGGTGTGCTGCATGTGACGGGAAACAGGAAATGGTTCTTGGAAATTGTTTCAGTTTTTTAAAGGAAACAGTCGATTCCAAAACTTTGCAGACGTGTGGATTTTAATATTTGCAGTCTTTTTTTTTTTTTCAAATCAGAAATATTTTACAGAATACTTGCCCAGTTGAATCGACTCAAATAAAGTAAAAAGTTCTTTAATTCATGTCATTTTAACAGACCAGGCTTTTATTTGAGACCAGGCAACAAGTTCGGGCAGGAGATTTTTCTAACTGGTTTAGACCGAGTTTAGACCTGGTTTAGTCCTGATTTAATCCTGATTTAGACCTGGTTTAGTCCTGATTTAGACCTGGTTTAGTCCTGGTTTAGTCCTGATTTAGACCTAGTTAAGACCAGTGTTAGACCTGGTTTTAGTCTTGGTTTAGTCCTGGTTTTAGTCCTGGTTTAGTCCTGGTTTAGACCTGGTTTAGACCTGGTTTAGTCCTGGTTTAGTCCTGGTTTTAGTCCTGGTTTAGTCCTGGTTTAGACCTGGTTTAGACCTGGTTTAGACCTGGTTTAGTCCTGGTTTAGTCCTGGTTTAGACCTGGTTTAGTCCTGGTTTAGTCCTGGTTTAGTCCTGGTTTAGACCTGGTTTAAACCTGGTCTAGTCCTGGTTTAATCCTGGTTTAGTCTTGGTTTAGTCCTGATTTAGAACTAGTTAAGACCTCTTTTAGACCTGGTTTAGTCCTGTTTTAGACCTGGTTTTCGTTCTAGTTTAGTCCTGATTTAGTCCTGATTTAGACCTGGTTTAGACCTGGTTTAGTCCTGGTTTAGTTCTGGTTTTAGAGACTTGAGCTGCGATAAAAGAAACGTCTCAGATTTTTATTTTAATGTTTCTCCAGTCGATTTAAACTCTTCTTCTTCTTTTTCTTATGTTTTTTGTTTGTTTGTTTGTTTGTTTGTTTGTTTGTTTTTTTCAGAAGTTGTTTTCAGGAGCGATGTTTGACTCTGGAGTCGGTCACTTCCGCTTCTTCCAGTTCCTCCTCTTCTTCTGGGATCGACACTGCGACGGCTCCAGTTAACGGACGACGACCAACGAAAGGTAAACCGACGAAAAACAAGAAAACCCAGCTGAAAACGTCCACTGTGTGTGCGCAAAAATATCTACATATCAATTTATCGTTTTATCGTTTAATGTGACGGTACAGGATCGATATCGTGTTCTGTCGTATCGATTTATCGCCAAGAGGATTTTTTTTTTGGTTGATTTTACTAAATTATTTTGTTACAGCTTCAGTTTTGTCGCTGGAAACTCGTTTATGCGACACAGCTGACGTTTTCAGGATCCAAACCAGAACTAAACCAGGACTTAAACAGGACTAAACCAGGACTAAAACAGACTAAACCTTAAACAGGACTAAAACCAGGCTAAACCAGCTTTAAACAGGACTAAACCAGAATGAAACCGGGACTAAACCAGGACTTAAACAGGACTAAAACCAGGACTAAACCAGGACTTAAACAGGACTAAACCAGAATGAAACCGGGACTAAACCAGGACTTAAACAGGACTAAAACCAGGACTAAACCAGGACTGAAGCAGGACTAAACCAGGAATAAACCAGATTTTAAACAACACTAAAAGTAGTACTATACATTAGGGTTAAACCAGAATTAAACCGGGTCTAAACCAGGACTAAACCAGGACTTAATCAGGACTAAAACCAGGACTAAACTAGGAGTTAAGCAGGTCCAAACCAAGACTAAACTGGGACTAAATCAGGTCCAAACTGGGACTAAACCAGGACTTTAGCAGGACTAAAAAGAGGGACTATAAACCAGGATTAAACCAGAATTAAACCAGGATTAGACCCGTCAAAACCAGGACTAAAACAGAATTTAATCAGGTCCAAACCAGGAATAAACCAGAACTAAAGTAGGACTAAAAAGCAGGACTATAAACCAGAATTAAACTGGTCAAAACCAGGACTAAACCAGGACTAAAGCAGGATTTAAGCAGGACTAAAGCAGTTCTCTAAACTAGGATTAAACCAGGATTAAACCAGAACTAAAATGGATTTAAATCAGGACTAAATCAGGTCCAAACCAGAATTAAACCAGGACTTCAGCAGGACTAAAAAGCAGGACTGTAAACCAGGATTAAATTAGGTCAAAACCAGGTATAAAACAGGTCTAAACCAGGACTGAAACAGGACTGGACCAGGATTAAACCAGTATAGAACCAGGACTAAATCAGGACTAGATTTTGACTCAAACCCGACTTGAAAAATTGTCTCCTCGGTCTGTAACTCGTCGTAAAATGTTCGTACAAACTCGCTCCTCGTGACCCTGGAGTTTTTATTTCACTCTTTTGTTTTGTTTCTGTAAATCCAGATCGTCTCCTGTAGCTGCTGCCCCCGCTGAGCTTCATTTGCCTGGACGTGGGCGCAGTGGTTTCAGTTGAGTCGTTGTGTTTCTTGTGTTTCAGGGCAGAGATGTTGTTTTTGGTGCTGGTTCTGTTCGGGTTCTGCTCGAGCGTCTGCGGTGAGTCACAACAAACAAACAAACAAAGAAACAAACAAAGAAACAAACAAACAAACAAACAAAGAAACAACAAACAAAGAAACAAAAAACAAACAAACAAAGAAACAAAGAAACAAACAAACAAACAAACAAACAAAGAAACAAACAAAGAAACAAAAAGAAAGAAACAAACAAACAAACAAACACTGTCACTGGTAAAGCTGCACAAACTTTTCTGCTGCAGAGTCAAACGATTTTCGCCATGGAAATGTGATTTGTCATCGGAGATTTAAAGTCCTGGTCCAGTCCTGGTTTAGACCTGGTTTAGTCCAGTTTTAGTCCTGGTTTAGTCCAGTTTTAATCCTGTTTTAGTCCAGTTTTAGACCTGGTTTAGTCCTGGTTTAGTCCTGGTTTAGATCTGGTTTTAGTCCTGATTTTAGTCCTGATTTTAGTCCTGGTTTAGTTCTGGCTCAGTCCTGGTTTAGTCCAGTTTTAGTCCTGGTTTAGTCCAGTTTTAGTCCAGTTTTGGTCCTGGTTTAGTCCAATTTTAGTCCAGTTTTGGTCCTGGTTTAGTTCTGGTTTAGTACTGGTTTAGTCCAGTTGTAGTCCTGTTTTAGTCCAGTTTTAGACCTGGTTTAGTCCTGGTTTAGTCCAGTTTTGGTCCTGGTTTAGTCCTGTTTTAGTCCAGTTTTAGACCTTGTTTAATCCTGGTTTAGTCCAGTTTTGGTCCTGGTTTAGTCCTGTTTTAGTCCAGTTTTAGACCTTGTTTAATCCTGGTTTAGTCCAGTTTTAGTCCAGTTTTAGTCCTGGTTTAGTTCTGGTTTAGTCCAGTTTTAGTCCTGGTTTAGTTCTGGTTTAGTCCAGTTTTAGTCCTGGTTTAGTTCTGTTTAGTCCAGTTTTAGTCCTGGTTTAGTCCGGGTTTAGTCTGTTATGAAAAAAAGGAAAAAAATAATAATAATTTTCTGTTTTTTGATTTTGGTTTTGGAGACAAATAATGAAGAAAATTGTTTGTTTTTTTTCTTTTTCTTATTGT